GTTTGTGGGTACGGAACTAAATTCCACCATTGGAAGGCCTGATTGCCAGTGTGATATTGGTAGGTACTTTAAAAAAAAAAAATGAGGAGAGACATGATAGGGAAACTAAAAGCAATTTGAAACATATTCAGGCCACTTTTCATCACTGCATGCTGAATGAACTGGTTATCTAGTGACCAAATTGTGCTGTGTTCTGTTTTCCCTGGTAGTTAAATCGACTTGATGCTTGCAGCTTGTACGGATTTTTCCCACCCTGTGTAGCTGCACGTTTCCACCAGTATGCCAAACAGACACCACAAACACATATTTCAGAGGTGAAGTTATAGCACTGCTCAATGCCAGCACCTCACTCCCCATTTGTCTGCCTCAGGAGACTTCAAGGTGCAACTCTTTTTTTTTTTTTTTTTGTCAAGACAAAAGCTATGGTGCTCACCTCCAGTTATTAGATTTCAAAGTCTCAGAGGTCTGCCTTTTGAGATACAATTTTATTAAGAGAATAAAAGCCAAGATCTAGTTAGTGTGTGAATCAGCTGAAATCCAGTGGGAAACAATCACATAAAACATTTAACAGACAATGCTTTAAAAGATTTCAAGAGGAGGGTTTGTGTATTGCTAGAAGTGAAATGCAACTTCTCTTTCAAGGACTAACTTTTTTTTTTTTCTCCCATTTGAGAACTCCTTTCTTCCCTTTTTTTTTTTTGGTTTTGTTTTTTGTTTGCTTTCTTCTCCTGTGAGTGAAGAAGGGTCTCTTGCTTTGTCTTTTTTCTTTCAAGAAACTGTAGGTCAGCTTCCCCTTTCAGTCAGTCTTTCATGGTGGCATGACTTCTGTTGATCTTGTCTGGATAAAATCTTTTCCAGGGCTGTGTCAGACATTTAGGTCAGTCCCAATTCACCCACATCCTGTGAGCACATAAGGCAAGACTGCTAACATGTCCCCAGTTTGCCGGATGTTTTTTATGAACAAAGTAGTCGATGTTTCAGGTATACATCATTGTCTCTAGACTTGGGATATATCTGTAAGTGACACCCTGTGATAGAGATCAGCTCAGACTGTAAGGGTGGACACAGCGGCAGGCGAGGATTCATGGCACATCTGTGGTAGGTTTTCCCCCTTACCTGCTGAGCGATGTTCCTACCGATGCCTCTGGCCTGCTGACGGCATCAGCAGCCACTGCCTAGCACACAGCGCAAGCAAAATCCTACCTACTTAGGTAAGCTGTGGTGGTGACAGATAACTCAGTCGTGCTGGGTATCTTGGAATCAAGCATAAATCTCATTTTAACTGTGTTTGGGTAAATAGTGCCTCTTCATTCACTAACTAACCTTACCTGAAATGACTCTGAGTGCTGCTCCCTTTGCAAATTCAATCCTTCATATGGACAAAAGAGAGAGGTTTGTAGTGACGTGGGTGTTCAAGAACTTTTCTAGCTGTTTTATTTTCCCCTCTTTAACTGCCATAGTCAGGCCCAAAGAGTGAGTCTCTCCTACGCTTTGTGTGAGCGTGAGAACCAGGTTGTATTTTATTACTTTAAGTTAAAGTTAATCCTTTGCAGCTTGTGTTCACACTGGCAATGAAATGACAGCAGGAGTGAGGTGAAAGTAAGTGATAATGTCTTGGCATTCGACACTTAAAAAGAATGTGTGCTTGTGAAGTTCTGACTCATTAATTCTTTTTCCAGGCAGCCGTGCGGCTTAGCAATGCTCTTCAGTACTGTGATGGATTTTAGATTAGACAAATAACCCAGAATAAAAAACACTTTATTGTTTGATGGAAAGGGAGATTTTCATTCGTTTGACCTTTTTTTGTATCGAAAAGTATATGAAAAACTTGCAAGTTTGGATTTTTCACTGTCACTTACATCATACAGCAATCTTAAGGACACAAAATGCCCCAAGCCACATTCCTTGTGGGAGATCTTTCTCCAGGACTGAGCTGCACAAAAGAACATAAAACAGACTCTGAAAAACACCATTTTAAAGTGGAGTAGAATTGGGAAACACCCTTCTTTCCTTTACTCAGTCCCTCAGAGATTAGTGCAAGCCACTTCAGATGTTGCGAGACAGTAACTATAATGGCATGATACTATAAAGTGTTTTACGGACTTCAGAGTAAACATAAATATAGAGACCACATCACTCGAAGCCCTGAGATGCATAAGAAAATGTGGAATCGACACTAATCTCTGAAAACATATGCTTTAAGGCGTTTCAAAGCACGGAAATACGATTATTCCAGAGCAAACCAAGGAACATCTATCCTTTTTAATCCCCTCCTGTGCATGTTATCATAAGAAACAACTTGTTCCAGTGACATTACCATAACCTGCAATTTCAGGCGAGTGAACTATCATCAATCCATACAATAGTTATTACTATAAGGAGAAAACTTCACTATGTTTAAAAAGAAAATAAAACAAAAACTCAACAACCAGGGTATATTTTTCATTCTTTAGTTTTCACCAGGTTTGCTTTGTCCCAAAGCATTGAAAATGTCTGACTCTCTTGTATAACATAGTATATTAAAAGTGACTAGCATTTAATCCATCAAGATCACTCTCCTTATAATGGCACAGCAGATGGCTGGGCAATATTACTTCTCACAAAACTGATTGGTAATCAATCTGTGTACATGTGTTGTTCACTTCACCCACTCAGCTAAATAAAGTTCAACAGCAGAGTGAACCATGGAATTTTAAGCTTTTTCTGAGTTTTTAACCCAGCGATAGCATACACATTAAGAATCAAAACTACACCCACAGCAACATTTTGAATTTGTATAAAATATTTCATATCCTGTTGAAATGCAACAGGCTCATAAAGTCTTTCACCTGAGGCATTTCTTTTCCTTTAGCTCTTACAACTCACAACACTGTCCTTTTTTTTAGCTATGAAACATTAAAACAGTGGTTTGGGTAAATTTGTTTCTTGAATATGCTGTTGCACTTTTCAACGGCAGCACTGCTAGGAAGTATACCTGGAACTTAGGTTCAGATAAATGGTGTCTCCAAAACAAGCAGTCAAGCACAGAGGAAGCTGAAGTCTACTCTCTGCTACCAGTTACACCTCCATGAGCTTTGTCTCCCTCAGATTTTTTGCATGATGTCTCTGGCTGCAGTTTTTACGCATTGACAGTTAACTGTGATTTGAATTATGCCTTTCCAGTGAGGCTATCTGGTGACCCTTCACTTGACTCACTCAAGTTTGTTGATGTCTGTCTTGTATTGGAGTGGACATATTATTCCCAACTGGACATAATAGTCCCGATGTGGTCTAAAAATTGCTGGGTAAAAGAGAATAATGTGAGCTCCTTCTGCTCTTGAAAAATATTGCAATTTAGAATCCAGGAAGAACATGAAACAAATCTGGGGCATATTTAATTTCTGCTAAATCTGAAGAGAATGCGGTCTCATCTGCGTCAGAGCTCCCTGGCAAGCCCTGTCACCCTTATCTGAGAAATCCTTTCTCTTAAAAACTGTCAGCACATTTCTTCCTTTGTTTTTCTCTCATTCCATGAAGATACATAATACCTACAAAAATAAAGTTTTTTGGCAATAAGTTACAGTGTGAGGAACAAAGAAAAGCTTGATAAAATTAAAAGGTAGATGGAGTGAACCAAAATGAAAAGAACCTCAGCAACTGACTCACTACAGAAAGCGTTGCCTCAAAATTTCTGATCTAAGGGATAGTAGAATTTAGTGGCTTGAAATAAGTGAACAACAACAATAGATGGAATTACATTAATTTGATGTGCAGGTATTTTAGGGCTATACACTGGAGTTGTTACAAGGTTGGTAGAAAATGTGTTTAAAGAGATAGTAAGACTTAAATACTGCAAGAAGAGCATGAGTCTAACTAATGCTGTTCTCTTCCTACAACATTGTGTTCTCGTCAGCCAAATCATGACAATACTAAGTAAGAGACTGCAAGGACTGATACCGGACAGTGATTCAAATACAAAAGTACATATAAACCTGACTATTGCATATTATGGTTTTGTTCATTAAAGTGAATTAAATTCATCCTGTGTGTGTCTGGACTCCTTACTACGAGAGACATGTACACGCTGGAGAGAGTTGAACAGAGGGCCATGAAGATGACTAAGGGCCTTGAGCATCTCTCCTTTGAGAAAAGATGCTGTTCAGTCTGGAGAAGAGAATGCTCAGGTGGATGCTCATCTATGTGTATAAATACATGGTGGAAGGGTGTAAAGAAGTTGTAGTCGGGCTCTTCTCAGTGGTGCCCAGTGACAGGACCAGAGTCAGTGGGCACGAACAGAAACACAAGAAGTTCCCCTGAACATTGGGAAACTTTTTTACTGTGAGGGTGACCGAGCACTAGCACAGGTTGTCCAGAAAGGCTGTGGAGTCTCCCTCCTTGGAGATATTCAAAGGTCATCTGGACAACTGGCTGTAGGTGTCCCTGCTTGAGCAGGGGGTTGGATCAGATGACATCCAGAGGTCCCTTCCAGCCTCAACCATACTGTAATCCTTTGTTATTTGAGTAATAAGAAACTTTTAAGGAAATCTCTTTCCTTTACTGTAGTTCTGATAAAGCTAGTGAAGAAGATATCATGCAATTGGAATCAACTATTTTAACATCATGTAATCTGAAACTGTTCTGAAGAGAAAAAGCAGGCTGCACCATCAGGGTAAAAATGATAGCTGTTTTCAGCTTCAAAACAAGTGAGTGAACATTGTGGTAGCTACCTGATAATGCTGATGTAAGTAGTGGAACTGCAGCTACAAATGGGACATCTAATAGCCATTTGTTAAGGAGAGTAAAGGGGTTTTTTTTTGATTGCATCACTATATTACATAGAAAAAGACAGAGCTTTCATGATGGCAGGACCTTGACTGAGAGTCAAGTGGTTATCTGCAGGAGATAAGATGAATCTGAACAAGAAAACTAAACTGCTGCAAAGAAGTTTGTTTTTGTTTTTGTTTTTGGTTTTGGTTTTGGTTTTGGTTTTTTAATTCATCTTTCTTTTGTTCTTCAAACAGTGGAAGCTCTACATTTGGGAACACTGATGGCAGCACATGGCTATTTCTTTCCAATCTCAGACCATGTTCTAACACTAAAGGATGATGGCACTTTTTATCGATTCCAGGTAAGTGTTTTCAATATGTTCTTGACTTGTACAAGTGGAAGCTCATATTAAAGACCTTACACAAAGGTTCATAGCAAATTTTAACCATCCTTTGTCTCTTATCTAACCTGGTAAATAGTGGCAATTCCCCCTAAATTAAAAAATGATAGGAGGATTTTATTTAGAATTTAAGTAAGCAGAGTGTTAAGATGATAGTGACCATTTTGATCCCTGGGAAAAGTGTGATAATTCTAATTGTGGAACTATTTCTCATGAAATAAATTAATCTTGTATTCTGGAAATATAGTAAAGGAAATGAAATTATCTTATTGACATTATTATTATCTTATTCTTAACATGGTCTTAATTTGGAAAGGGGCAAGTATCTTACTTATTAAGGCTATAACAGAAATCTGATAAAAAATGGAGGGTAATATTTATATTCTTTCTTATGTGAGGGTTTCCTTATTGGTAACAGAGTAGTATTGAAGTAGTGTATATTTTTCAAACAAGTGCAGACACATTTCTACATTGATCTGTTAGTCCCACTGCATACAACAAACATGTATATGCTTCACAACAAGATGGAAGGATATATATGTATGTATATGTATACCTATACCAATACCTACATGTATATTATTCAGATACCTACGTAGTTGTATTTTATTATATTACATTTCAAACTAAGGGCTTAGGGAGCTGGAATGTTGCTTTGCTAATAATGAATAGCAAGCTAGAAGTTTGCAGAACAATACCATGTATGGCTTGAAACAAATACAATTACACAGTATCCGATTATGTATTCTAGAAAAGGAATTAACTTTGCTTGCCATGTGTCATCTTTGACAATGGTGGTTGTGTTCTGTATTGCTCTTCCTATTAGGTGGTCTTCCTGGTAGGGATCACCAACAGCTGCTCCAAGATCTTCCCTAGGTATTTGTTGCTTTGCAATGATATGATGATTATCACTATGAAATTGATGACATGAATACCATAGTTTGGTAATCCTGCTCTGTTAGTTCTAACTGTGTTAAATACTCACAGAAAAATAATATCTGGTAGAACAAAATCTATTGTCTTCAAGATATTTAAGCTTTGTCTTAAACATTGTTTGAACAAGCCATCAAGAATAAAAAAACCCTGAGACTGTGGTCTTTAAACTTCAGAAGAGAACTGTGATACATTGGAGACCAATCATAGTCTCAAGCATTGTATTAGATTAATTGCTGTACAATACTTTCATTAATATTTTGGCTTGAGTTCTATAGACCCACATAAGGGAAAAGAAAGGATCATAATATATGGTCTAAAACAAAATCATGGAGTGAATGCAAATAAATATGTACAGCACAGTCTGGCAAGAAAGAGAATGATTATTGCATACACACATACAATATTATAATATTTTTCATATGTAGATCCTGTGGGTCATACAGGGCAAAAACCCTGTTCTTCAGCAGGACAGTAAGTTACATGTACATATGGGTAATACAAAGAGCAGTCACTCCAAGCCCCCTCCCCCACATCCACAGGTACGTTTGATCCTGGAGAGTGGATCTGAAGGAAAAGGTTTCCTTTCCATGGTGCTTCATCCTCCTCAGTGTTCAGTGTAAAGAGAGGGATGGCACATGGGTGAAGGGGCTTACTGCTGAGAGAAAGTAATGGTGTGATTATGAGGTAAGCAAAAAGTAGAAAGAAATCATGGAGTGGTTGAGGGTCCAGTTCTTGGCTTGTCTCTGCATAAGCAGCAGACAGAAGGACAAAATATCTGAGGACTTCATTTTGCAGAGAATACAACTTATTTATAGGAGTGCTGGTCGTTGAATTCTGCACAGCTGCTGGCCTGCCGCTATCTCAAACATGGGAAAGGAGCACCTCTGCTAGCATGATAATTCAACGGAAGGAAAGTATAGATCAGAATTAGCTGCACTGTGAATGACTGAGTACTGCAGCTACTCTGCCATGGGCTTTCCTCAGAGATGTCTAGAGCCTGCCTCTTTGGACATGAAGCTTCAAGCGAGGGTTAGACTGTAAAATGATATCAGTTGATAACACACATAAGTGAAGGATTTGGCGCTTATTTGCCATATGCATATGAAATAAGATAATTTCCTCAAGTGTTGCTCAGTATATATCTGCTGTATTTTGGTGGTTTGCTACTCTGTGGTGTCTTTTGCATTGGTATTCCAGTGCTAACAATGTTAGAACAATGCAATTTATCTGTTAATGTATAGCATTACAAAACATTTATAGTGGTGTCATACTTTTAACTGGAGTTGTACCGGCAAAATTTATGTCATTACAATTCCATGTTCCCCACCAAAATAAGGCTAATATAAAATCTGTTAATGAAGCTGTTAAATTGAAAAATGAAGACAACATACTCAATGGGGAGGAAAGTTTGACAGTAAAAGTGTAAATTTTACACAGCATAGTTGTTCAGGTGCTTTGGAAATAGCACCCCCTGAATACTGTAGAGGATTCACAAATTTCTGGATATTTTAACAGAAAGAGAAAACCATGCACCTGCCAGCACTGAAAAGTTCAGAAGGCATCCCTGCAGAGAAATCTCTATCCACAGTACAAAGACCTGACCTACAAAAAACTGGCTAGCTACAATAAAGTTCTCCATGCACTTAATTTTTTGTTTTCCAAAGGGTAACGCCTTCCCTCCTGACAATAAAAATACTTCCAGTTTGTTTTAAACAACCTTCTGTTGTATAGAAAAAGCTAAAAGCAGTGGAGATTGTACTTCATTTGTGCAAATGCCCTTTTAGAGGCAAAATTTTACTTTTTCAGTTATTACTCTTGCCATCAGGAGGGCTGTAAAATTGCAGTTATATCTGTTTTTTTAAATAAAATGGCCTTAGAAATAAAAATAAAAATTAAAAAAAAAAATTCCAGATCATTCTTTGACCTACTCAAGTGTAATTAGGTTAGTTTCTGTGATAACAATTTAATTCAGAGGGGATAGATCTAAATATTAATTGCCTCACTCAGAGAGGAAATTTATTAGTCTCAACAAGGCAAAGCAGAAAATTCAGGGATGATGATACTTTCTGAACCATCCTGAACAACTGCATTGCCTTTTCCTGCTAATTTAAGCCTTGGGCCAAAGAAAGATCTGAATAACTGCTGACCACCCTCTTCTACCTGAGAGGAAATAGGTTTGAGGGGCCCAAATAAGAAAAGCAAGGTGCACTTTAGAAAGCAGGTATTCCTGGGGCCAGGGATTACTCACTGAGACTTTTCATCCGTGTCCACACAAGTGATAATATGTCCATTCTGGTGAGGAATGCCTGACTTGCCCTCTCAGCTCATAAACTCCTATAATAGTATCCCAGGAAAGATAGGTTGAGTTCTTCTACAAGTTATATGTGCATACTAAGTGTCTCAATGTTCATAGTGAAAAATAAAGTTTCTTAATATACTTCATCTTTAAACAAACTCCTAGGATACTTGAGGCTAGTGATAATCAGGCTCCCATTTTTTGATGAGATTAATTTGTGATGTAACATAAATTAATTTTCAGAGATGAAGTTTAGGTTCTGATGTTGTTTTGTAACTTTTAAGATGGAAGGCGTAAATAGCTGAGGAAAATGTGTGAAAATGGGAAGAGTTTCTTGTGAAAGCATGAGTCTGGTGAAGATAGCAGCAAGACTCATGGATTTTGGCAAGATGAAGAATTCATCTGTGATGTTTTCTCCTCTTCTACCACTGGCAACACTTTCTTGAGAAATGTATTTAACCTTTCTGGCCTTGTTTTCCCATGCTGAAATTGAGAATAGAATACACTGGAAGGATCTTGGAATATCTTTGCTGCAAAATAGTGTAGAGCGTGAAGTGTTGTGGATCCTTGTGTCTCAGGTGGAATTACATTGCTTCCCGCATCTCTTTGAGTCAGCCCTGCTCAGCGAGCTACCTCTTGGCTCGGTCCTGGGCCAGCCTCTGGCCATTCTGAACACTGAGGCTGTGGCTGAACGTCACAGCTCTCCAGCCACTCTCCACAGCCTTGCTGGACCATCTACCGTGCCTTGAGGTAAGCATTTTATTGGAAGCCAGATTTTAGAAGTAAAAAAGAAGGTGGTTATCTTATCCACCATTTGGCAGATTTTCTTTGGCAATTGCAGGTCCAAGGACTAATTCATTGTCTCTTCAGCTCAGGCTCAGCATATACAGTTCCTCTTTAGGTTTCAAAGAGGGAAAAAAAAATCAAATCCATGTGTCTTTCTGACTGCCCTATCAATGCCTCTTTTTCTTTTTTAACTCCCTACTCAGACACACTTCCCCCCCCACCCTCTGCTTTCTGTTCTCATCCCCCTTCCAGATTAGCAAAGAGGAGTCACAGAGACAAAATGTTTATTGTTTCCAACTTCCTCAAACTCTTTTTAATAATTCTGAGCTAACCATGAAGCACTTCTTGCTGGCATTCTTCCTCTATGAGCTTGACAGTGCTAGACCAGCAATCTTACTGTTTTCCTTTACCAGATCATTTGGGCCAACTGCAGTGAATGTAAAACTGAATGCCTGTGAATTCTGCCATCCATCATGCAAGGCACTTGAGATTGTGTATAACTATTTTTTAGCAAAGACTTGATTGCTGCTGTTTATAAAGACTCTGTGGTGCCTGTGAGAAGAATAGCAGTAATATGCAAAGGAAGGTTTATGAGTGATTTGAATATTCCTCCCTCATTCCAGTAATTAGATTTTAAAAAATTTCATGGAGTAGAATAGCTTCAGAAACAACAGTTCTTTTCTTATTACTATCAACAAGGGGTAGCTGAAAGATGCTTAGTGATTTCCCTCCTCAGGAATGCAGTTCAATGCATAGAAATAATCATGTTCTATAAAAGCTGATGGGCAACACTGATTTTTACAAGTGGCTGTTTTATTAGCTCACATATTATTATTGATTAATTTTATGATAGGGCCAAAACAGATCTATTTGTTTTATCACAGGATTGCTCACAACGTATGGAAGCTGCTGCTGCCAATTTCTTTTAGTGTGGAAAATATAC